AATCTGTACAGTGTCAGTGATTCGGACAAGTTCAGTGCATGCGAAAAAGCAGCCGTTTATTGTGTCCCCTTTTCTTGCGGAAGAAAGTATAATGGACTAACCAGGAGGTGCATCAGCCCATGACTGCGCGGACATAGCCATAACTTCAAGCAGATCACTCAATAGGAAACGTGGCTCATTGCAATAGGAGTCAATGTCGTCTGAAGTTAGACTGCACCGTTTTTGCATCAGGATGTAGTAACTCTAAAGATAGGAAAATCATCGAAGCCTTCACGGTACCCCGCTCTGGCATTAATACCTGCGTTAGCGCTCCTTCACTGCCATTAACAGGAGCGGAGGTGTCATTCTTCCAGGTCAGGGAAACAAACAAACCTCGAGACATTTGGGCGCCGGATTGAGGATAGTATCTCTCTTGGTGTATTTCTTGAGCATCTGTGAATGTCCTTCTTTATGTTCCGTTTTCTCACTCCTTTTCATTGCGGGTATATAATTTTTGTCATGATCCCTTAAAATTAAGCAGTTATCAGTTCGCGCTTCTGTTGTACCGTGTCGTTCTCTCACTCTCGTTTGTCTGTAGGCGCTACAAGATTACAGTATGTACAACCAACAGGTCTGTCCTGTCCCTTGCAGAGGTCGAGAAGATTAGCACTGAAGCACTGTGCAACTACGAGTTGGTGCACAAGGCGTCCATACGTTACAATACTACCCTTCTCCGGCTCTTGAATTGAGATAGTGTTCAGTATAACAGCTACGAGGAAACGTCGACAAATCAGGGACAACTTTGAAAAAAAAAAACTCTAGCTACAACATAGCAATGCATCACAGAAGCCGCAATAAGCCCCTCAGCCTTCTTCTACAATGCAAGCCAAAGTAGTTCGTTGTATTATGAGTAAACTTGTGTGATTGTGTTACGGCAATACAATTTTGAATGGAAGTAACACAAGCGTAGTTATTGTAATTTCTCAGGTCACTTTTCTTGGGATGCAACTGAGTACTGTAGTGAAATAATTTCAAAGGAAGTGAAAACACTTATTTATTTTCTCTCGACAACTATTATTGTTACCTATTTTATACAGAGTGCCTCCTTTTTTAACATCCGAACCGTTCCGTGCACCACGTAGGTGCATTACGTAATTTGCAGACACGTTGCCTTCCAAATGCTGTGTGTGCCGCTCTTATTTGTTTGTATTGCAAACACATTATGAGGAAGCCTGGTGAGAAGTCGCACAAAGCTCTATTCAAGGATTGTGACACGAAGCCGGAAAAAATAGCTTGCGTGTGTAACGTAGTGCAAATCGCATATTGCTATAAGACATTATTTAACCATAATTTGTCGACCAACATGCTCACTAACTCGAACGTGTGCACGCGCGCGATAAAGAGAGCGAGATTGGGCACTGTTTTCAGTTTCTTTATGCGCCTGGCCTCTAGTTCCTGCGTTTGTGCATTCTGAAAAAAAAATAATTTCACCCTTTTTGGAGATTTCTGGCTAGCCAGGCATGACTCCATTTATAGAAACACGTGAACACTCTTTGAAGATTGTTATACCCTCTTACAAGAGTCATCTGATCCAGAAGAGAGTTCACTTGTATGTTTAAAGAGAGTCATATAATGGCAAGTAAGGGCTTGCCGAGAGGAGTCGCACATACTCTTTTTTTTCCTCGCAGTGTGGAATGGCAGCATTATCTCACGAAGACGTTACAGCATGTGTAGTCGCGAGTACCGGGAAATGGAACACTGAATTCGTGTTTAATCCACGATTACTATGTACCTGACATGAATGTGACCTATCGAATTCTGAGAGATATGCTTCCGCTTGAGCATCTAATGTTTTGAAAATTTATCAGCTTACTAAATTTGTTTAGCCAGTATACGACCTTTAGTATGCAATTACGCTCCTCTATTTCAGTTGATGACAACTGCACATGGACACAGGTTCCAGGAAAAACTAAAAAAATTAAAAAGAATCACGCGTCTCACAATGTGTTTCGTCCACTTCAGGGAAGATGCTTGCCACGAGTACTCTATCACCCTGCGTCAAAGAATACAGAGAAACACGTACATAGACGACAATTCCAGCCAAGGCCGCAACAACAATAGGAGCTCACATAAAATAGTACAGTTAAAGAACTTGAAAAGAAAAAAAAAATCTGGAGGTGACCCTTTGGTAATGATACTTGCCCGTTGACGCTCGTATGCCGTCGTGTATTCCTTGAAGAAGGCGTTTTATTGAGTTCGCATTGTGCTTCGCGTGCTGCCAATCCGAGAGGTCACGTGGAAAGGAGGGGAATCAGCTCCGCCAGGTGGGGCAAATATCCCAGCTAATGGCTATCTTTCAACGAACTTAATGAGTTAATTTTCTTTAATTATTCAGAGAGGCTGTCCTTATCTTAACTTCATAAGTGAAGTTATGCTCCGGTATATCATATGCCGTAAGTATCAGGTGCGTGAGCCCAACACCGAACACACAGTGAGAGAAACTATGGTGATTATCATGATTCGTACGCTCCAGGTGAAAATGATCAACTACACAGACCGCGCTCACATATGCATTCAATACAACTCCTAACCCGGATGCATCGATTTGTATTTTTAAAAAGACTGTCTAAATATTCGGGAAACCGGAAGGAAGCGCCTGACCACAAGTCCTTGGCAGAGGAGAAAAAGTAGCACTCAGTGTTTGTTCCCCTAATACAACACACATAAACCCCACTTTTATCTCAAAGTAATTTACCTTCAGCTAAAAGTAACAGCTGCAAAGCTCTTCAGCTGTCTTCGTCAACGTGCCAACTTAATGGAGAGGAACTGGTGTTCGGTAATCGGGAAAAAAAAACATGTCTATGATCACCATTCTTAAAGACAACAATTTTTCACGTGTATGACGCAAGTAGAATGAAGACAGTGTGGAAAATCAGAAAACTGAAGGGATTTTTTTAGCGCAATCCGCACACCATAAATAGATTGGTCCATCGTTCCTTTCGCTGTAAATCCCTGTCACTATTCGCTATCATTGCTGTTATTCTTTAACTCTCATGCGTGTAAACTTTTGGAACAGTATGACTAATTACATATGAAGTCAAATTAACTGACGACTCATGTTGTCAGATTCTAATATCATAAATGCGACCCTTACATGTTACCCTTCAATAATGCGATGCTAAACAGCTGAAGTTAAACGTGAGTTTATCGGATCAACAAATCCTTTGTGCCCTTTCGAGAAATCGACTAAATGCGTGGTTGCTCCTAGAACCCCCCCCCCCCCCCCCCTGCTGGCTGGTCAGCACAAGGATGCGTATTGTGTGGTCGATTTATTTCTTCCTTTTTTTCTTTTTCGGACAGATTGCTTCCTGTCTGCGGGCCACCACTTTCGCGTCTGTGCTGGAAGAAGGCATGCACACCATGGTCAGAAAGTGCATGCGAGGATCGTTTGGCACCGTGGCGCCTGGACACGGCTCCGCGGCCAATCGAAGGGCCCGAATTCTGGCTACGTGAAGGCAACGACGGCGCACGGAAAGCAGCTCTTAAAAACGATAAAAAAACGATGACAAAAAAGTTAGAAGCCACTGATCGATGAGGAACGCATGGCACGGTTGGATTCAGTCTTCACGAGTGAAGCAGGAGCGATTGCCTTGATGCTATATGGTATATAATAGCGTCAAAAGTACTGACTGTACTGACGTACAGAGGAAAAGTGTTATAGAAGGATTTTATTAGTCTACGATAAAGCTAGTGAAGAAAAAAAAATGAACCTGTTTTGCACTTGTACGTCAACTGCTGTCAACACAAATTTTTGAAGTGACTAGCATTTTATGCGGCTACCGAAAATTTATGTAGGCGCAAATTTCAGCAATCCTATTCTAATTGTCTGCATAAATAGCACATCAATAAGGTAGTGCGATCGGCTTAGAGCTAGACAGGCCTAGAAATATACCAGTCAGAGGCACAAATACCTAAAGGCAAACCTCCAAAGCATGAACTGATCATGTACTGTCTGACACACTAGTGGCCACCGCCGCAGGAACAGGCACACAGCTGTAAAACGAATGTGAATGTAAACACTTTTGACAGATACTGTTCGTCAGTAGTCTATATCACATATTGCCATGTTTGCGACAAGCTCTTCAGTAACACAGTAAGCATCAATTAAACCAGTGAGTACGTGGTTAGGGTAGGGGAAAAAGTCGTTACCACTCATTATTCCACGCACTTGGAGTCACTGGTGCACTCTTCTGTCTTCAATGAAGCCATGTAGGAGCAACTTGTCACAGTATAGACATTCTTGGTGATGAATAAAAGTATATAGCGACGCCTATTGTGCTATATTTAGCTGTCTCACATAAGTTGTAGCTGTGAAACTACTGCTATATATATGCCAACATACGTAAACGAAGTTCTCAGTCCATGCAGTAGAATGTTGCTTCTCATGCTCTAGCGTTAATGTGGCAATGTCACTTTTTATCTTTCTTTATTACAATGAATAAGTACCGAAATCGTTGTCAAAGTGTTGCCCATATACAGACCCAAGAGCGAACTTACGTGCAGCTTTCCAAGCACGGGCATTCGACTTTCCCTCCATCGATCCTCTCGGACGCTTCTGCGATGCATTTGTCTGAAATGTAATGCGCGAAAGCGGTAATGAAGAATGTGTCCACGTCTACCCTATTTTCTGTCCCTGTGTTAATATACAGTGAATGGTATTTTCATTAAAGAGATCTATATAGGTGCGTGCCGATTGCTTCGTTTCGCGTGTGTGCGCGTGTGACTGTGTTTGTGCGTGGACGTGTGTGGTCGCCTATAAGGTTTTCATTTCTATACTCGTCATCGATTCTTTATCACTGTTTTTCTTCAAGCTTGGTATCTTTGAATTGATTGTCGATGAATATTCCCTCTTGGAGTACGGCTAAGTTCATGTTGTTCATTCTTAAATACTGCAATTTCATTTGGCACACTGTCAGTGCTGTCGATAGCTAAACGTGTGCGCTTGTTTTGCTTCAGCTCACTGAGTTCCTCGTCGTCTTCATTGCATATGTCAGACAGCGACCTGTCGACCGTGTCGTAGTCATGTGACTGGCATCCACAAGCAGCGATCACATGCAGCTGGGCGCAAATCTGCCTGCAAGCCTGATGAGAAGACAGAGTGAGTCATTACAACATTAATCTACAATGGCTGCGTGTTACTTGGATACGCTTTTCCGTATTGTGACAGCCCTTTGTAGTTCTCGGCACGATGTTGAGTACATCTGTATACTGTCTGCTGATACGTCACACAAATGTAGGCTAACAAAGCCAACCTGTGGGTTGCTCTATACGCCGGTGTGTGAAGCTTTTGAGTATAAAGGTTTCACAACAGTTCAAATATAAAGAAAGTGCTATCAGCCCTTGTATATATTTTTCACATTAGCTCATAGTTCCCAAATGTTCGTAGTATAAAAATCGAGTTATTATGAGGATGAACCATTCTTCTTGCTGGGCAATAGAATACTACAAGCTTGCTGGCAGAATAAATTAAATTTGCAGGAGTATATGCATACATGACCCTCGTAGGTGTTGGTACATTCGACTCTTTCAATGCTCCTTCTTCTGAGTGTAAATACTATACCCGCAATTCGAAAGCAAACGCCTCCACACAAATACCACATAATTGCGGCTGTCCCCATTTCGTTCATACAGTGCAGTAGATCTGTGTCAGTGCTACAAATGGGAAGTAAACGCATGCTTTCAGAGATGGCCAGAAAATGAGAAGACTTATGTAGAACTTCTTTTGGAAATAAAAAAAAAATGAACTGTTCCCAATTGACACTTGCATGCTGTATTTGTTTCTGATTTATGCTCTTCCGTCATTGGCTAGTTTATGCGCTTGTGAGCATAAAATTGCGTTTGAGATATAAAATACCTATAAATCCAGTCAGTGCACAATGCATGCAATGCTGTTCGAGGGAGATGTATTTTACATACTATGTGCTGCATGGGGATTCGCAGGTCATGTATGACTGTATTTTTCTCGACTTTGCTAAAGCTTTTGACACTGTGTGCCATAAACTGCTACTGCTAAAACTAAGCAAACTTAATCTTGATGCTAACATATTAAAATGGATTGAATGCTTTTTAATAGACCGCTCCCAATTTGTAACTGCGAATGAATCCAACTCCCCCCCTCTCACCCGTAACCTCTGGCGTCCCCCAAGAATCCGTTCTTGGCCCACTACTCTTCCTGATTTACATTAACGATTTGCCACATAACATCTCTTCTTCTATTAAACTTTTCGCCGATGATTGTGTTATTTACCGCGGAATTAAAACCCCTTCTGACCACCTTGCCTTTTAGTGTGACTTAGACAATGTTTCATCTTGGTGCGATACTTGGCTAATGAACCTTAATGTTACTAAATGCAAGGTAATGAGAGTTTCACGTCGAACATGTAATATTTCTACTAACTACGTACTTAATAATTCTCCCCTTACTAAAGTTAGCTCTTACAAGTACATTGGCGTTACAATTACTGACAACCTTTCCTGGCAGTCTCACATTGACCTTATTAAAAACAATGCTAACCGCACACTTGGTTATTTACGCCGTAACTTCTCCCTTGCCCCGATGCAACTGAAACTTCTGCTCTATAAAACATTAGTCCGACCAAAGCTAGAATATTCATCACCTGTATGGGATCCCCACGTAAACATCCATATCAGTAGCATCGAAGCAATTCAAAATCGCGCCGCTAGTTTCATTTTGTCGAACTATTCCCGTACAGCAAGCGTAACCCATATGAAGTCAACCTTAAATCTACCCAGCCTATCATTTCGCCGCAAAATCTCGCGCTTGTGCCTCTTCCACAAGTTGTACCATACCATGCACTCACTGAGTAACTCGCTTTTTTTGCCGCCCTCCTACATTTCATCCCGCAGCGATCACCACTTCAAAAATGGAATTACAAGCAGCCGTACAAACCTCCATTTTAATTCATTCGTGCCCAAAACAAGCACGGACTGGAATCACCTTCCCGCTTCCATCGCATCCATCACTGACCCGGCCAACTTCAAGAGTACCATAAACGCATACCCTTTTTAAACATGCTCCATTTGTTTGTACAGATTGTTACTTGTATTTCGACCACTCCTCTCTGTAACGCCTTGTGCGTTGAAAGAAAATAAATGAAATAATATTTTATTTCAATCAATCAATAAATCAATAAATCAAATACTTAGTCATTTGTTTTTAATGACACTTATTTTGCCATTGTTTGTACGAAGCGTACATGCAAAGAACGCATAAGTAAATCAGGTGAGAGTCGGGTATTTACTTATGCGTTTACTTATGCGTCAGAAGTAAATGTGATATATCATCATAAATCGCTTTCAACTGTGCTTTATTTATTTCTAAACCCAGTTGTCGTAATTTCATAAGTGAAATAAACTAACGTTACTGAACTGATACTACAGATACTGCACTGTATTTCTCAGACTAATAAATAGCTTTTGAGAAAAGAAACGCCAACTCTTCTTTGACTTCGTTTTTGCATAGGACAGCTTTACTGCTCCGCACATACGAAAGGCACAACCAAATTATGCATCATGCTTCAAGTAATAAAAACGTTGTTGCTATGCGGCTGTGCGCAGCTCACCTTTCTCGTGTACACTCTATCTTGGGGAATATATTCACGGTATTTTTCGGGGAAGCCTCGCTGACACGGGTTACGGTACGGAGGCTCCAGCCGAAAGTAAATAGACTGCGAAAACAGTTCAAGAGGGCGGAAAACATAAAATGGCGTTATTATTCAACTAAGGGACCACACGGTGTTTTGCGACACTTTTACGGCTGCCCATTCATGCTTATTAGGGGACTTATTCAATGTTTGACTTTTAAGACAAAGTTTATTGATGAAAAAATGCTGCGTTAAGGCAAAATTTGTTGTATTGACAATAATGAGAATTAATGACCATTTATTACAGAGAGAAAACTGGCTTACTGACGATGTGCGATTGCGGATGTAGCAAGCATAACTAGTAGACCTTGAAGCCTCATGTGCAAAAAGCGTTGTTTTGAAACAAGTCTTACGTTAGAGTTCAAGGCTTGTATTCACAAACTATTCTTACTCTAAGAGACTGATTTGATAAGATGCGTCATCGGATCGCGATATGAATATTGCTAGTGAAGAAGGCTTCTTACGCGCTTCTTACAAGCGTTTCTTACGGTAAACAACAACAACTTCAACAACAACCATAGCACAGTATGCATGCCCATACATACTGTACTCATTCATGCATTATAAGCCCTATAGTGTATAGTAAGTACATAGGGCCACTGATAATTGTTCCTTCTTTTATCCTTAGTTTTCCTTGTTGGTGTGTTTATCTCTGTACATTACTGTCACGATGTTGGGATCGCTGGTTCTAACATAACCTAATCCCTTCTCATATTTTGCCAAATATAAATAAAAAACAACAAAAACAATGACTCATCCTCCTCCTCCTACTACTACTACTACTACTACTACTACTACTACTACTAATAATAATAATAATATTAATAACAATAGGAATAATGAAAGAAAACGAACAAGAAAAACTCAAAGTAATTCGGAGGTGTTATTTGTCACGCGCGGAACATCTCTTCTAATTTAGAGCTTGGGAACTGTGTTTAACAACTGTAATAATACACGTTAGCACATCATCAGTTACTACTCATCAGACCGGTAGTTTATGTTCCAACCAATGGAATGTCAAACCTGCGTAACGCTGATCATTGTTGTGTGGCAAGGCAGCAAGAAAATGCTGTCGCGGAAGTCGACCTGCACTCCCGGCTGATGGACGCTGACGACGAAGCCCGCTTCGGTTGTGTGAGGAAGATACTCGTTCAACTCCAGGTTCAGTAGCAGGCGGACACCTTCAACGCATTACGAGGGCAAAACAGAAGAGCGGGAAAGCATTCTCAAGCACATGGACATATTATGAGGAAATGTACATGGTAGTCCAGCTGTAGTCTTTGGCTGGGGAAATGGCATGATGGGCAACATGACATTTATTCTTGTAAGGGCACAGAAATATAAAAAATGGCATCAATGAAGACGCACACGGTCACTAAATAGCAAAAAAGAAGTAAGAAAGAAAAAGATGACATGTAGAGAATCGCGTAATATAGCAGACTAAAATATATTGTGCGTGGGACGAAGGGTGAACACAGTGGGTCATTTCAATATTACTGTGAAGCCTGTGAAACAGAGTCAGAAATAGAAGAATTTCTGCCCAAAGATGAACAACAATGTGCTAGGATGCAATAATAACTTGGCTGCCAATATACATCAAGCTTATAAATATAACAGTAAAAGAAGAAAAAAAAAGAACACGAACAATTGTAAGGTTCTTCAAAAGTAAAAAGAATTGGCTCAAGGACTTCAAAGAGCTGTGTCGTAATCTATTTAAATAAGCAAATTCCTTTTCTTGAGGCACATGAATTTTCCTGAAGCGTGTTCAGTGCCGTGTGCGTAGAGCAGCAGACAGTCTGATTAGCCAAACAAATTTACCACGGTTTCAATTAAGGAAGGGCAGGCTTTTAAGCTTTTTACGCTGCATACAGTCGTGTATTACTATCCCACACACCTCCAAAATGTGCTCAGTCTGCTACAGCCATAACTGCTTTACGGGATGAGATTGTTTAGTGGTTATGTTGTTTCTTTCTGATAGTTTGCCAGGCGCCTTCACTTGCTTTTAGTGTGATCTTGTTGGGCGTGGAAGTAATGGTACCTTGATCGGGACTGTAGGCCGTCTGTATCTTCTCTCTTTCTGCACTGAGGTTGCAGCCCAGACAGAAACAGTTGCCGTAAGGGCCGTAAACTTTCACTTGAAGATGCCTTAAAAATAAAAAAATAATGAGAGATTGAATGTATAACAACATCGACATCCATGCATAATTGAAGATAACGCGTAGGTGGCTCAAAGAAGTAGGAAAAAGAAACTACTTTTCTCTCCACAGCTCTATGTAGTTGGTCAGCACAGCTCTATAGTTGTACAAGGCAATGAACAACTGCAAACGCTTTATTTCTTTTAACACATAGGAACAAACTTGAGTACGTGACACACATACTTAATTGTATGTCTCATGCGTATCGCATGTATCGTACTTTTCTTTACATCTCCTGCTTTAGGCCTGCACTGTGCGCCTCCACGCACAACGATAGTGTATATGTCCTAAAGTCATTGACGAAGATTTTACTGCAGTAAACAAATGGCTACGTATGCGGTGTCGCAATGACTAAAGGAAGAGTGAGCTTCGGTGCTTTGTAGACTGTTGTATATATAGATGTCATAAAACTGCTATAGTATAGTATATTATAGTAAGCATATATTATAATATAGTACAGTATATAACATCTGGAGGTAAAATTATTGGTGCGGTATAGTTTCTGCACAAGCATCCGAGCCTGGTTTGTGTATCCTCGCTTCAGCTTGGTGTATTCTGATGTGAAGGGTGAAGGGGCTGTAACAACCAGAACGGTTAATTAACTGGACAGGTTGGTGTGCTTCGATCTCCGAACGATTAAACATCGAGACTGAGAATGAGAACGAAAAAAGGAACGCTGCTGTCCGTCGTTCCTCTTCTCGTCCTCTGTTGCGCTGTTTTAGTAAATTTGGAAGGTGCTGTGACAAAATGAAAAAAGTGGCAGCGTTATTTTACTCGGGAGTGTTGCAGTCTTTCCCGCCGACCAGGCAGCTGACAACCATGTTCTCCCTCTGATGACCCAGCAACTTGGCCGTCGTCTCGTTCCGCCGCTGCAGTTCGGCGATCCACTTGTGGAACTCCTCGCGCTGCGTAGCGTTGTCCTCGCGTAACTGCGCAACCACATCGTGTGACATCACGGAAGCGAAGACGCGTACGATGGCGATAACGTGAGCCTTTGCGCTAGTAATGGTGTCTGTATCAGTGTTTCAATGCAGTATATCTTTAGTTAGAACATTTCCTAGCCTACAATGTGCCGATACATCAATCTTCGCTTGCAGGGAGCAGAGTGGTGCCGCCTTCTCCTGAAGTATGTCCGATGCTCACGAACGGCAGCACGTATCTTCCGCAATCAGCTTCGGCAAAGCGCTCTTTCCGGATTCGATCGCTAAAGCCACGTGCAGCGTGAAGATTAGTTTAAGCTAGCTGAGTTTAAGCTAGCTGAGAGCAGCCACGCATGAGGACAAGTTGTATAAGAACTACCACGAGCGCCTGGCCCACAGCGAATTCAATAGCTTTCAAGTCACAATGAACATTCGCAAAACTTATTCTACCCGCTTCGTAACTATTATATTATTTTTATATTCATATAATTTAAAATAAAAAACGGTCGAAAATGGCAGAATGAAGGTGGTTAGCTATAACTGCACTCACTCTTGTGAAAGTAGGACGTTGAGAAAACGGCTTGTGAGAAGAGCTGTCGTAATTGTCATCAATTCTCAGTGCTGCTGGAAGAGACGCTCGTCCTTGTTTACTAGCTTCTAAAATCGAAAATTTTTTTGAAATATCCGCACGCTTTCGGAATCAGCCACTGCTGGTTTATAAATTACTGTGAGAGAGCGTTTCATTGTGCGTAAAAAAAAAACTGGATAGAAAAAAAAATCTACTGTCAGTGCCATTCAGAAAAACATAAAACCGTAAAATGAAAAAAAAAACATAAAACCGCATATAGAACAGAAAATGAATAATCACAAAACAAATCAGATAGCCACAAGAAAAGAACAGAATAGAGCAGATAACACAATCGCAAGATGAACACAAAGAAAACATGAGCCAATTAATTCCCCTCAGTTCTCACAGATTTCACCTAAACATGGCTTAGACTTTCTTTATTTGACTACGTCACATGCTTCTATCGCTTTCAGGTTGAAATGCATGGAATTTACGCCTCAATGATACACCAACTTTCGAGAATAGCGGAGGGCGAGCATGTGACCGGCAATGGACGTAATGATTATTTATGCGTGGCCCCATCGCTCGTTCTTTATTTGTCAGTCTTCCTGTCCGTGAGGCGCTGCGCCGTGCTCCCTATCAGGCTGCAGATTTGTTTTGTTTTGTTTCCCTGGGATGTTGGCTCATACCCACTCAGGGGGATTGGCCAAGAAAGTGTAGTGCAGTTTTTCTGTGATCATTTTAATTATGTGCAAGGAATTGGTATTATAATAAGACTAATGTAAAAATAAAAACAACATAAAAAGAGCAAACGAAAAAAAAATCAAGTTGAGCAATTTTGAGATTTGAGGTGTTGTGTTTACCACTCAGCTGCGTTTACTTCACTCTGCCCTTGAGAGTAATAATTTTTTTTTTTATTGAAGATCACAAAGGTATACGCTCAGGCTGCAGAAATTAGGTGCCTTCTTCTTCTTTTAACCACCGCTATCAGTAGTACTCAGCATGCTGTGTCAGTTCGAGACGAAAAGAACATTTAAATTATGGTGAATTATCACTAACCTGATAAGGTAACGAAGCTGAGTTACCCACTATCTTCCTACGACATGTACGGAATCTTGTAAAATGGAACTAAAATGCTTAGAATCCGTAGTTGTAATAGAAAAATAAATTTTAGGTACTAATAAAGGTTTCAACACAGAATCATCAAAGCATCCATAAAAGCATCCTTAAGGCTTCGTTGTGTGCTTAAAAGTTTTCCAGCTGCGTTCACACAGCCATGAACGTTTACGCATATTGAGGTTACTATGATTATGCATGCAAAACAAACAGACGAGAAATTAACACGAACAGTTGCAAGCCTGCATGCCGCAGTGGTATTGAACTACCTGGTGTACGGCGCACGCGGGAATTTCTTTTTCTTTCGCGTACATAGCCTCAGAAATCGCAGCCGTGGTGCCGGTGCGCGCCAAATTTCGGAATTAGGCTCCCGTTTCTCCACTGCCTAAATGATGCCTAAATGATTAGTGTTGAACAGATGCATGATCGGGCTCGGGAACCTATCGGTTCAATACCGACGAGCCCCCAAAATTTTTCAAGTCTCTTTTATTTTTTTTTGTTGTTGGTGGAAAGGCCGCAGTCAGAGCCTAGATACACGGTATACAGGACGCAGTGTAGGACAATTACGATAGCAATGAAGAGAAAAGATGGAATGGTATAGGAAGAGAGATGGGGATGTTAACCAGTCCAGTATATAACTGGTTTGCTACCCTACACGTGGGAACGGGATGAGGGAGATTGAAAGTGGAAGAGAAAAGAGAGGAAAGAGAAAGAAAGATAGGGCATCACACATCACACACACACAAGCACACAAATCCCAGTATTATAAATAAGCACGCAGTGTGAGCCCACCCAGATGGGCAGTGATGACTTTGTGCAGATTTTTTCTTGCCATTCGGAAGCTGTGCTTCGGTTGAGCTCTATATCTCCGCAGAAGACGCTCCACCGTACCTGCGGAGAATGCAACAAAAACGCAAGCAAATTTGGGAAACTGAGGAAGGAAATATGAGGCCATGCTTTGCCTCTGTGTTCCTGGGTTATGCCTATACACCTGAATGTTGCGAGAAGCATCTGCTCGCGTTATCACTCTTCCACCTAAGCCCTACATTGAGACCTACATTGAGCCCTACATTGAGCCCATTGGACGCACCTGTTAAAGATTTATGTTTGTTTTCATCAAGCAATATACGATTCCCGTCCTGTAGTAGGCCACGTTTTTTTTATTGGCATGCTAAAATTTGTACATTGACGCAACAAACCGGACAACGCATTTATTTCGCATTATTAGGTCAAGTTACGTCACGCAACTTGACCTTACATCTCTACCATCAATTTAGTTTACACATACCTGATTCACGTTGCAAACCGTAACAGCAGGCAGCGCCATTCCTTCGGGTGATCTGGCCCACATGACGTCGACTGTGTCGGCGTACTCGAAGTACTCTCTGTCAGACAAGTAAGTGTAAGACATGTGTTATAGTGACACAGTAAAGTTCGTGAATTCCCAGTGATATTTTACATTGGCTGTATCATCTGTGGAAAAGGTTGGCGTCGCTTAACTCTTTGGGACACTCATTACGATCAAATAACCATAAATGCGTGATATTCGCGCCATTTGATACCAAGCTTCTGAGGATCAAATTCAAGAAAAGTGGAAGTGTTCGGATAAGTTATAGTGTGTTGGGCAGGAGTCAACTTTAGTTACAACGTATGTTATCGTTGTACAGTCAGTCATGTTATGCTTTTTTTATAGACTAAAGCAAACTACCCACTAAAATTAGAGGTGATAGTGATCAGCTTGTAGCAAGCATTTTTTTCAAATGGTAGAAAAGTGCGTAGTTCCGGCGAAATCGCCCGACGTGCAACGTCTCGATAAACTTGGTACTGCCTTCGTAAAATCAGTTGTGGGTAGAAAAATATTCTAACCAAGAGAGATATAAAGGAACTTTAGGCAATAAGAAAGCTCAAATTTCCATCTGCTCACTTCTTGTTGTCTCTTCCTTGTCGGTATTGCACAGAACTGGGAAAATTAAGGCGTATGCCTAAATGAGAACGCCGTGTGGCAAATGGTCAAAAGGCTTTTGGTTTCGAGGCCGTGTGCTGCGAACTGAACCTACGTTTTCGGCCTATACAATATAGGTAGGTTATGAAAGTAGAATGCCCCAAGCAACATGACGTGTAAACTGCACATGATGAAACAAGCGCTGAAAATACACACACTCAGAGAGGACACAGGCAAGCGCTTACTAGCAACTGAAAATTTTTATTTCGAAGCGAACACTAATAAATACATCCCACGCATGTACGTCATTCCCAATTTCTTCTGTCATCATCAACAACACGATATGACAAAATATGCAGTCCCATAATCGATTGCACACATCCGGAGACAAACACGTGTCAAGAACTAAGAAAAGAAAACGTACAATTAAAAAAAATAAAAAAAACTGAAAAAAACGTAAAACAAAAAAAAACAGAAAAAATGCGCTGAGTTATGTGACGTCCAAAAAAGCAAATTCCACATCTGTTAGTAGAACTGACGCTTGACTGACGCAACTGTAACCTCCTTTCTTTACTCTATAGGCTTTCATTAATTCCCTCGTCGTCCGCTTTTTGTGCCTGTTCATTACTCGTGTGTGAAAATTTCGGTTTGCAGGTGCACTCCTTGCAGTGCATCGCTAAATGTGAGTAAGGGGCCTCCTTTAGTGAACTCTCATGTTCACGAAGGCGCACATTTAGGCACCGAACCGTCTGGCCAAAATACTCCTTTCCACATGTGAAAGGAGTTCCGTACACAACATCTTTTTTGCACTCAACGTACCTCCTGCCATGTTTTATGCTACATCTGTCCAATTCTCCAGTTCCTTTCTTGTGGACTAGCCTTTCTACTGCTGGGAAAATCTTTGATTATCTGTTTTCAGCTTGAAAGACAACCCGCACCCAATCCGTAATGGAACTTTTTTCAACCGATGTGAATATTGTGCAGAGACGGGATGACCACTTTCCGCTCTTTTTCACCCTCAACTTGTCTCCTCTCTTCGCGTGTGCCGAACATTGTATTTTTTTTTACTTCCGGACGATTCGTGTATTTTACTTCCCGACGTGTGTGTATTTTCAGCGCTTGTTTCATCATGAACCTTTACCAACGCTCCCAACTAGCCATCCTAAGTGCATACTGTATGTTAAAGGTGCCTTTGATAGGAAAAGAGTTACCTGAACACAATGTAGAGGTCGTTGAGGCCTACGTACACAAGCGCTGCCAAGGCAGCCGTCCAGGCGAGCCGTCGCACCGGGTGAGACAGGCCGAGGATGACGCGAAGGCCGGGGATGGCCGACTCGGCGAACATAATCCGCAGCCGCAGCAGCAGCTGCATGCCTGCGCTCGGGTTCTTGGCGCCGTTACCGCCGCGCGCTCGGGTGCCTGAACTCTCGAGGGCCTCGGCCAGTAGAGCGTCGACTCGCCGTGGCCGAGTGGTCATTTTGCTGACTTAGCGCGAACTGGAAGCGCATGAAACGCGATTTGGACAGTGAGAAAGGAAGAAGCTGGCTCACGCGGTCATGACCACACCTTGAGCACCCTAAGCAACCACGCGAATAACAGCAGCCATACTAACAAAGTGTGAACAGCAGGGCTGTCATCAGCTTGTAAGACATCATGAGTAGCCCCTTCAGCAAAACGAGTACGTACTTTGTTCAGCAATCATAAGTTCAAGAGGAGCGCACCATCAGTACTTTCTTAGCACGTCCCACATTGAAAAGCAACCGATTTTCAGAATACGTTCGGCCGTCTGGCTTATCAGCTTTAATACGACATGCTTTCCCCCAATGCCTTCAAAAACTGGTGCACTACTTGACGAACTGCTGGCCCCGCGGCACCCATGTCAATGTGTTCGCTTATGCCTTCCCGGACCACGCATGTTTTCTCTACGGGATTTCCGGTGCTACGCCACGATCACACACGTCAAGCTCAGCAAATCACCTGCGCATGTGTGCTTCATTGACAAACTGTAGTGTCAATATACCCTGCGTCTTCCATTCTTTTTCTCTCCCATTTTCCAGCATTTTCGGCTCTGCCGAAAATGTGGTCGCGATGCATGGCCGGGACTTGATATTTTTCGATTAAGGCCGAATGCTACGGGCCCATGTATACCTATATTGAGATGCACTCCAAAGAAGCCAAGGTGGTCCAAATTTCCGAAATCATCCACCATGCTGTCCCTCATAATCAAATCGGGGTTTTGGGACGTCAAACACCGACAATTATTAAAAGAAACTCAAAGCACTTATGACGAATCTGCACAAGGTGAGAGGGCAAGAATAGAAGCCATGAAGTCAAAATTATGAATATTGAGTACGTGAAGACCTTATAAATAATATAAATAATTGCGTACTCCCGCGCGCAATTAGTTGTGAAACCTTATATAAAGAATATATGCCATATATGTACTTACCCTGACCGTCAGAGGAAATGAACAAAGAGGCTCACCTAATGCGACTAAATGGGAGTTCTGACAAAGTTCAGAATGGGTGAAACCCGCCTGCTATCGTGTCCAACCGTTGCTAATCGATTGACACTCACGCAGGAGCAAGTGGAGGCGTGGTTTTCACCCTGTCTGGTTCTTTCGCATAGAGCCATTATCAGTACAATAGGTTGCTTTTTACTTAAGTAGTGGCGGAAAAGTATGGTTTCGCGTGCGTTTAGCAAGTCAGATGGGAAAGTAGGGTATAGAATTTATGCAGATGTTTTTATGAGCCCACACGGCCCGGTAGATTAAAGGACGCAGTTGCTATAATTCTCGTCTGAAAGCTGCATTGTGGTAAACGGAAACTACTGCTCTTTTGTTGTTGTTTATTGCGGAACCGCCATTTTCCGGTCACCGAGAAAAATTGATGGCCGTGTGAGTTGCCGTGAGATCAATACACATGGCTTTGAAAACTGGCTTTATATGGATGTGCATATACTCCAACCCTGCGAAAAGTTCAGCTTCCTGAAGTTGAAGGAAGTATTTTAGGCAAGCGTTTTTTCTTCGTCACTGTGTAGTGGTCCTCGCGGCCTGAGCTGAAGCGGAATTTAAACACATTATGAAGTCCTCTATATATCTCTAATTATATCTTAAAAAAAAACAAGATTTAGGCAATGGTGCTTTCTCTCGGCATTTCACTGCAATATTAAAAAAGTCACAGCTTTGCCGCAAAGGCAAAACAATGAACGTGATAGCAACAAATTGGATGGTAACGCGCAGAATGGCAAGCAGATCGAAACGAACCCTCGGCCCCCGACGGCGAGGTGCAAAAGGACATGGTGATTAGTGCCCTGGCCGCTGCCGTGCAGGCCCTCATCGGGACAATACCGCAATCCGGCCCTGTGTTCGAGCTGTGCAACGCGGCCCTGGCCGCCCACGCTGCCCTCAATCAACATGGCTAGCGGCAAGGTGTTTCGGCCGCGGATTCTTCAATGGAACGTTCGTTCTCTCCGCTGCCGTCACGCCGAGCTGTCTACCCAACTCCTCCGACGCGAGTACGACGTCTTGCTGCTGCAGGAAACCTACGCTCGCGTCGGAACACTCAACCTACCTGGTTTTGTCGGCTATCACAGCACCACGCAGTGCGAACTTGAAGAGTGTAGCGCAGTCCGGTGCAGCACTCCCTCGCATCCTCCCGGCACGTCGCGGGCTTCGGTTTATGTGCGCGCCGACCTCCCTCACGCTGCAGTGGACATCGAGGACATTCTCTGTGACACCCTCGAGGCCGTCGCCCTGACTGTGCGCATCGGGAGCACGGACACCAGTGTCGCGAGCGTGTACGTGCGCACATCGAACTACTCGGCACGCTGGGACACCCAATTCGTGTGCCGCCTCGCAGACCGCCTAAATCACGACGCGGTCATCGGTGGCGACTTTAACTCTCACCACACCTCGTGGGGCAGTGGCGTGACGAACCACCGTGGGCGCGACCTTCTCGATGCCGTGCAAAAGGCCGGACTGCTCGTTATAAACACGGGTAGCTGTACTCTCGCGCGCCGTGGTGTGTCCGACAGTGCCATCGACCTGACTCTCGTGGGTGGTACGTGTAAATATGAGTGGCAACGTGCACCGGACTCTCAGGGCTCCGACCACTACCCCATCGTGGTCACACCCCCCTCAGCTTACTCGGACCTACAGTGTTGTGAAGTGGACTCGCTTCAGAGAACTGTGTGCTAGAGTGCCAGTCTCTGCAGACTTCTTCACCGCGCTGGCCGAGTGTCACGACGCAGCTACCACCCACTGCACCGTGCCTGCGGGCACCCCCGCACCAGACATCAGCCTCCTCAACCTTCGCGCCGCGCGTCGCAGGGCGCAGATTGTGGCGGTGCGCTCGCAGAAGGCGGAACATTGGCGTGCCTATAACTATATTGACGCGGTGTGCCGCAGGCACGCCAGACGCCGTCGCAACCAGAGCTGGGGGAGCCTCTGCTCGTCACTAGATGACCCTCAGAACCACGCCCAAGCCTGGCGCATTTTCGCTGCCGTTCTTCGCACCAGAGAGCCTCGCTGCCCGGTTCTCTGTGTTGCTGTCGCAATGAAGATCGCCACGCAGGAATTGGCTGAGCTGCTGGCAGACAAGTTTGCCCCTCCTGCTTGCCCACAGCCTCCACAGGGACTACCACCTGTGCCTGCACTCAACAGGCCTGAGCTCTTCGCTCCCGAGCGGTACTTTCCCACCGAGGGCATTCTGCTAGAGATCCGCGCATTGTGCACGGAGGAGTTTACTCTCAGCGAGCTGACCGCAGTGCTCAACAACCGCACGAAGCGGTCTGCCCCGGGAGTGGACGGCCTCACCTACCAGGTGCTGCGCAACATTGACCCCTCCACGCGGCCCCGGTTGCTGGAGGCCTACAACGAAGTGTGGCGCACAAGTCAGGTGCCTCCTGGCTGGAAAGAGGCGCTCGTGGTGCCCATCCTGAAGCCACGGAAGCCGGCCACGGAGCTTTCATCCTACCGGCCAGTGTCACTTACCTCGGCCGCAGGGAAAGTCATGGAAGCCATGGCATTGCGACGCCTTCGCTGGATTGCCACCGCAACCAACGCATTCCCTCCCGAACAGAGCGGATTTCGCCCAAGGCGCTGTACGTTCGACTCACTGGCCGACGTGATCGCCACCCTCGAGGAGGCCAAGTACCGCGGCGATTACGGCATCCTCGTGCTGCTCGACGTGAGAAGTGCGTTTGACTGTTTGCCCCACGCATCGATTTTGGACGCACTTCGTGACCTCGGTGTGTGCGGGCGGATGTTTGACTACCTGGAGAGCTTCTTGGGCGACCGCACTCTTCGCGTTCGTGTTGGCTCCACAATCAGCGGTCCCCACTCCGTCACCGCAGGCGTACCCCAGGGCAGCATATTGAGCCCTTTTCTGTTCAATCTGGCTCTTGCCAAGCTGCCCGACTACATCCCGTGCAACACGGCGCTTGAAGTGCATGTGGCGATTTACGCCGATGACATTGCGCTGTTTGCCTGCGGCCCCGGTCGCCACCGGGCAGCCCTTCTCGAGTCCCTCCAGGTGGCCATCGACGCGGTTGACGCATTCCTGAACGGGGTTGGACTGGCGCTCGCCGCCTCCAAGACGGAGGCACTGCTCGTCCACCCGCGAGCGTCGACACGCCGCTCCACGCCTCGGCTCTCACTCCGGGGCCTCCCCATCGAGTGGAGCACGAAGGTGCGCTACTTGGGGGTGACCATAGACCACCGGCTCAGCTGGCGACCGGCCGTCAACGATCTGCGGACGAGCAACCGCAAGGTACTCGGCGCCGCACGCAGTCTCCTCGCGCGAGGGCACGGCTGCACCCCTGCCCTTGCCCTGCGAGTCTACAACGCAGTCGCATCGGCACGCGTGATCTACACTGCAGCAGTGGCTTCGTTGAGTGCTTGCCAGCTAGCTGCCTTGGACGCGGACCATCGCAACGCCGTGCGGGAGTACTACGGACTTCCCCAAACCTCCCAGGTGGGCCCCACGCTCGCCGAAGCGGGGGAAACTCCCATCTCCCTGCGGGTGACCCAGCGGACACTAAATCATGTACTGCGGCTGAAAACCACAAGGCAGGGGCAGCTCCTTGTGAACAGGCTATATGCTCTACCTCACTCATCCATGGGGCAGCGGGCGAGTGAGCTCTTGACGGTTGTGCCAGACATGCAGTACCCCAGCTGGCTGGCTATCCCACCCTACCGCCACACCCCTCTGGTGATCACCAAGACCATTGGCGGCATAAAAGCGAAGGCGCGCACCCCGCTGGCAGCGATGCAGCAGGAGTGCTCCGCCCTCCTTCACGAACAGCTGAACGGCCGGCTGCTTGTTTTCGTCGACGGGTCAGTGCTTCGCGACGGCTCCGCGGCCGCCGCCTGCGTTGTGCCATCAGTCGGCGCGGTTCTCAAGTGCCGCCTCCCCTCCCTCGCCTCCTCCACTGTGGCGGAACTCGCCGCTATAAATTTGGCAGCCGATTTCCTGA